GAGACAGAAGGTCAGGCGGACATAATGGGCAGGACGTGACATGTATACAGCACATTGTTTATATTTATATATTTATGACTTTTTGTGCTGTAATCTTTTGTTTTATGTATTGTCTGATCCTGTCACACTGGAAAAACCTGATTCAGAAATAAAACCGTACCATTTTCATATAATCCCTGCAACATGCTCATTGCCTAAAGTATCAATAAGTATGACTTCAGCATATATTTAATGGAATGTCATAATCGAGGTAAATGAATGGGGATGAGGAAACGTCGAATTACATCATCATTGTTACATCATTCTGTTTCTTGGCAACCACATCTGGTGTGGTTAACACAGCTCACAATTAGACTCACTATACAGGTAGATCATTTACAAATGCAGCGCAGTTGAAGTACCCAACTTAATGGCCCTTCAGGAGGACTCATGCAGGCCAGGAGACCAGCTGAAAGCATGGATATTATTATAACTGTCAATAGACATATTCAACAGTGGGATTTTTAAAAAACTGTGAGATAACTTATAGGAAACATTTAAAGGAGAGAGGCTTGCAACAATTAGTCTTGATCACCAAACTGCAGCAAAAGAGTCCTAAGCTAAAATAAGTTTAGCAATATGGCTGTTCGGTGTTCTTCTCAAATAAAGGAGGTGCTATACAGGTAGCTAGCTCACAGACATTGTATCTTCCACTCTGGAATTGGAGGTTGGGCTTAACAAGCGCACAGTGTTACACCCTACGGTGCCGGTTAATTAAAATTAGGGTGGACTTTCTTATTTTGGGTAGTGAAGCAGGGAGAGCAGAATAAGGGCCATTTTAGACGTTCCCTTAGTCTGTTTCATCCCCATGATGAATATCTGTTTAGTCTTTTGGAGGAATGTGAGCGAAAAGGGGAATGATGACTGGAGATTCTGTGTGTTTGTAGGGGGCGGGGGGGACCTTAGGAGAGGAGTAGGGCCAGGAAGAGCAGCATCCAGAGGATCTCATCATTTATTACCTTAGCTAGCATCTAAACATGCTTCTGTGAGGACTGGTACTCATCACCCCCTGCGGTGCTGGTCAACCCATCAGTTGACAGAGGCAGCCAACTAGGGCACCATCTTCTGGGTGGGTAAGCCAGGCTGGCAGTAAGTTTCCTGGTGGGGGGGGGGGGCAGTGCCCAGGGCTTCATATGGGCTTTGACCAGCACTGCAACTCCACTCTGAACTACATGGAGAAGAAACTTTGCCCCCCAGCTTTGACAGGAGCTTGACAGTAACACATTTCATGCACAAAGAGGCAGCTCAGAAATTGGTCTTCTTCAAATCTTTTATTCCAATATTAATAAGCACTATAGATGACTAAAGGGGCACCTCTGGGCTGCACACGTTTTCTAGTTCTGTCCAGCATGAGATAAAAAAGAGCAGTGAAGTTAATTTAAGTGCTTCACTGCACTGCTGGAGCAGGAATTTGCACCTGCTGGACTGTAGCCTGAGTTGGTCTGTGGAGCTGTGGTGAATGTTGAGGACAGCTTGGACAATCCAGAGAAAGAGCTCAGTGCGTTAGGACAGCTCAGGTCAGGGATCCATCTGGACTGTGGCCAGCTCACTCCCCGGACCGCTCGTACGTAGAATGGAACGTACCATGTACTCCTAGACAAGCAAAATGCTCTGGATGAAAATCACCTGCTGAAATCCTAGATGGCTAACGTATGAAATGAGTAGCAGGCCTCGTCTGAGCTCATAAATTCGGTGCCGTCCACCTGCTCCCCTTCCATGGGCTGCGATTTGCCCTTCGGGGACGCTTTGTGTTCCCGGTCAAATAAATCGGAGAGCCATCACCGCCACCAACATCTCCCATTGGGGGAAGGGGGGCCGGCTGTGTGGCTCAGCCATTATGCTGGAGAAATGTTGTTTTTGTTGTATTTTTTCTTCCTTTTTTGCCTGTAGAAATGCACCACTAACCGTTTTTGCATACAAATGTAATTATTCATGGAGAAATGGGTTTAACCCCATGGTGGCCTGGCTGGGCCTCACTGTCTCTGTTTTCTCTAAAACTATGAAACAGAGAGAGGCCTTTGCAGCTGGTCATCAGATGAAGGAGATAATTGCTGATGAAAAGTCAGTCCGTGGCATTATGTTGTCCCCGAATCATTGTTCATTTCTATCACCATTGAGGACTCTGCTGAAGACCCAAGTGTTTCTTTTCACTTTTGGTATTCAGACTTGGTTGCCTAGCAACTAATAAAGGAGAAATCACCCACTGTATTAGCCAAGATGTGGCACAGGCTGACCCACTACAATGCAACTTTGTAAAAGGCGTTGATACAAGTTAATGATGGTCATTCAACACAACATTAATGGACTCCTTCACGGTATAATAAACCATGCATAGGACTGAAAGGGGGGCAGCTCCTCTGCCTGTGCACCTTTACAACTTTGTGTGTTTTGCCCCCTGAAAAACCCCAATGCGCACTACACAGGAAATCTCCCTTCCTATACACGTCTGTATATTTCCATGTTAAATTTACATCACTGACCCATTGTTCACTTAAATGTGTTCAACATGGGTCTATATACCCCCAAAGCCTGCCTGTTTACTTAATTTTATTTTATGTCGTTATGTTTTGCATAGAAACGCAAACAGACTATAGACGATTTTCCCCGGTGGGTGTTTAATTAAAGCTATTTTAATAGAATTTTTAAATGCGCTTCAATACAGTTATGCAGTACGTAGGCTATATAACGACTGAGCTATGACCCTTCTTAGCGCACTGGATGGACTGGGGTTTGAGGGGCCGAGTTACCCAGCCGCTAAGCCGGGAATATCTTCTGGAATGCCTTTCACTCCCGCTCCGTAGAGAAAAAGGGCAATTTTGTAACATTACTATTCGTTGCACCCTTTCTAAGCGAAGTAGACAAAGCTGGGCTTCTGTCGGCCCGAGCATAATAAAAGGAATCAAAGGATTTCCCCCTTAAATGGGCTAATTTTCTCCTTGAATTATGAAAGTAATGGCTAGGTAACACCGTGCGCTCTGTACCCGACTGCTTAATACCCCCTAAACCTTTCCACGTGGCCAGGCTAGCCGTAGCAATTAGACTTCATTATAGACTCATAAGGGATCTCATTTGTGGGATTACTTAATAGACAATGAAATTTCATCGCGCAGAATTATGGTGAAAAATAATATTTGGAGGTGGGACGGTGCGACGTCGGCGCGCGCCATGCATCATTCCGCCTGGTTTGGGATATCGCTCCAGTCCCTGCGCCTCCCGTCTTGCTGCCTGCACTTCATTACTCCAATTACAGCTGCTATGACAGACGTGTTTGTTTACCGTCCATTTATCCAAGTTTAAAGTCACATCGCATTGTGTTTTAAATACAGCTGATAGTTTGGATTGCAATTAAATTCCTATAAATGCCGGTGAGTTACCGGCACTCCGAGCCCCTCCCTCGACTTAATTAGAGAACACTTACCGGGCCATATTAAATTAATATGATGTACCCAATGGTTATTTAAAGGGATGATTTACATTTGCCTTGACAGAACACGACAAATGTAGTTCAATATTATACACCACACTCATTTAATTGAAAAGCATTTAAGCTCCGTTATGTTATTTAAAATGTAAAAAGAAAATGTACATAACGTGTAAGTACGATGACTAAATAAGCAGTGCAAAATTAGCGCAAAAATAAAGAAAAATTCCCACTGACATTACTGGTTCGACTATCGTTATATACAAGTAAGGAGCGTTATGTCTAGAGTTAAACCTAATACTGACCCACTCGGAGATCAAACTCGGTAATTATTGTCACAAGACTGGAGATTAACACATTTCTGGAATAGCTGTGTGTTTACACTGGAGAAAAGAACTATAATAAACACTTTCTAATTGAATCCTAATCGTGATCAAATTGCCAGCCCCAGTTTCTAGAGAGATTCATCAATCTTTAATTATTAGACCCGAAATCTTAACCAAATAGTCGCGGACTGTTATTATAAAGTTACTATTTATGTGGCCAATGGAGAGTCCTGTTGTTTGTTCACTTGCATCTTATTTCCACGGAGATCCTGAAAATACGTTTTTCCACTTAAAATATAATGGGAAAGGGCCGTTGTATTGCAAATCATGGTAAAATACAATAAACAAATCGGCCTTAATATTCGAAAACGTATTGGACGGATCTGTAAGAGTGTTAGTTACTCTAGTAGTTATAGCTACTACTATATTCAGGTGTGTATTCCCAAACAGCTATTAAGTCATACAGCGACAGTGGCATAATGCGTTCTTAGAATATGGGGAAATATTTTCATCTTCAGTTAAATATAATGTCAAACAAATAAATTTTGATGTTTCGGCACTTTCACTATAAATTTCTTTTATAAAAATAATACAAAATAAATTAATTATATATATAGATCGATATATATATATATATATATATATATATATATATATATAGATAGATATATATGTATATAATTAATTGCAATATAACCTGATTAGTACTGCATACTGACTTGACGTTTTATTCGGAAAGAGTTTTTTTGTTTTTTAGGATAATACAGTGACCAAATCAAGGTCTGTTACAATCATCAAAAAGATATAGTCTATTATTGAAAATACAGAAGTGTTTAATTTCTGTAGACAATTTAAGTGGCGTATAATACAGAAGAGTAGTTAATAATATCGACCCATTCCATTTAAGACAGAAAACAAATAAATAATGCACCATGGATCTGTAAGCAGGTGCTGAACTTGGCCACTTTTTGTCTTCTGGTCGTGTTCTGAAAGCGCCGCCAACAGCTCCTTAACATTAGTAAACTAGTGTTGCTTACTTGTTATCCAAAGGACTTAAACCACTAAATGGGGAGGATTTGATTGGAAGCGCTTTGATGAATCACGTGTCCCAGGTCATTGGCGGTACTAAAGTCCCGGAGCGGGGCACGCACGTGGGGGGCGTTAGGACCAGCCCTCTCCGGGGTCGCTTTTGTTTAACTATCGAACATAAGCACCTTCTGAGATCCCAAGGGCTTCAGATGAGAAAGAGCAGCATTTCGTGTCGGAAACGTTGACCACATCACACCGCAGCCATGTCCAGGTCATTCTATGTCGATTCGTTGATAATTAAGGATTCTGCTCGCCCCGTGCCCTTGAACGAGCATCCAGGGCAAGACTTCCTCATCCCGCTCGGCGTGCATTCACCGGGCGTCATGGCCGTGGCGGCGCCGGTATGTCCCTCAAGGAAAAACGGCACTTTCTGCGTCTGCCCGCTGTGCGTCACGTCTCACATCCATTCTCCCAGGAGCAGCATTCCGCTGCTGAAGGGACAGTTTCCGAGCGGTGAGATGCAGTACTGCCAGAGGATAGGACACCAGCAGAGCGCAGCTCTGACGCAGCACGGTGCTCTGGCGCAGCACGGACACACACCTGTCGGCGCGCCTACATACAGTGTCACAGACACTAGGAGGTTTCACTGTCTTTCCATAGGTAAGTTAGTTACTGCGCGTCAGTCATAATGTTTTCTATGAATGTCGTTTTTGTTTTAAAGTGAGAATAAAGTGCATAGTTTGTTTTAGTACTTGAAAACTGAGTGAAAGGAATGTATTCCTGAAGCTCACTAGTGATGTTTTCCGTTAAATGGGTATTTCGGGTGAAACTTCGGCTGAATGACTTTATTGGGGTGAATTGAAATGAACTTAATTATCTTGAAAATAATGGGATTAGCAATCATGTATTAATCCGTGACATCTTCTCGTATAGGTGCACCTGAGAGCAGTCACATACAAAACGGGAAGAGAATGCGCACTGCCTTCACCAGCACTCAGCTATTGGAGCTGGAAAGGGAGTTCTCCTCCAACATGTACCTCTCCAGGTTGAGAAGAATAGAAATAGCGACGTACTTAAACCTGTCAGAGAAGCAGGTTAAGATCTGGTTCCAGAACCGAAGGGTGAAGCACAAGAAAGAGGGCAAAGGAACGCAAAGGAGCGCGCACGGGGGATGCACATGCGCCGGCGGGCACGTGCACTACTCCCGGTCGGAGGACGAGGACTCGCTGTCGCCAGCATCAGCTACAGAGGAAAAGGAGATTTCCCCCATATAATGACATCTCTGTCACACAACCTTTACTTCCACTAGCACTTAAGAAAAAATACCGAAATATGGACAGAGGCCGATTGGAGTAAGATTATAGGCCTATACATTACATTCTCGTTCAGATTTCCAAATACACGACTTATACAACTCTCTTTTTTTCTGTCATTACTGTAATTTTAGCATTGCATAAATGGAAATAGAGACTGAAGATATATATTAAACTTGTCTTCCAATATAAATAAGTGAAAAGAGAGAATTGAAAATCCAAGTCTTTGCAAGTTCCGCCTGTGTTACACGGGGAGATACGATATGCCTTCCTGCGTGGCGCTTGTATACTTTCTGTCACGTATACATGAATATTGTAAAAATCAGTCAGTAACTAGATATGTATATTGTATATTGTTATGATTTCCCCATGATTTGTATGCTCATATATAAAATGTATCGTGTGGGCATTCTGCGATGAACTGGCGTCCCATCCAGGGTGTATCCTTGCCTCGTGCCCTGCGCTGACTGGGATAGACCCCTCCCCCACACCACATCTCTCTGAGACCCCGAACAGGATAAGTGATTAGAAGAGGAATGGTAGGGTGGATATTACTATATAAATGTGTATATTTGTATTTATTTAAATAAAAACAAAATTTGCCTGATGTTTCACCAACAAGTGTCAGCTATTTCGTCAACGACCTTGCTTAAAAAGTTATTTTTTTTAACTGCTTAGCGCGCCGGTATGGTTATTAAACAGTTGCTAACGGGGTTTAAAAGCAATTCTGGGTAACATCAAATCTAATCACTTTTATTGTCACATCACTAGAACGCGTGAACTACAGCGAGTGAAAGTCTTGGGTCCAGACTTGCCCATAAGCAGTGCAATACATCAAATAAATTCAATCTGTAAATGAAGCGAAACGTCCAAAGTATTATATTTGCCACAAAGACAGCAGTTCAGTTTCAATCCTGGAAAAGTTATGTCAATTTAATTTAATGTAAGTTTAACCTAAAACGAAAATTGCTACTTAAATTCAGAATGCGGTGTTTTTCGCAAATTAATATCACAACTGTCAGATGATGTGCTCAGTCTTTCACCCTTTCCGTTCGAACCATGTCCTATGTATGGAAGAGAATGGTTGATAAAAAATTGTTTCAGATTAATGGACTCCTGACAAATTCCATCTGTTTTAAAGTCTGAAGCTGGCAGTGCCCAGCCCGGATTGCAGCGATACTGCTTGGACTCGCCGCTTCATTGTGTCTATTTCTATAGCCGTGACAGGTTTATAAAGACGCTTTCAAAGCCGGAGGCGGGCTCCGTCCTCTTTAATGAACTACACTGTCAATTTTCACTCAGAGCCTTTGGAGCTGGGGAGTCCCTTCTCCCATTGCCGTCTTCGGCCAGTGAAAAAGGCCCGGCTCTCTTTAATTGACTTGCAGCGCAATCCAGTCGAGTGCACTACAGTAAATAAAGTGAGTGAGAGATGTTTAGGAAGCAAACGTGAAAGGGGCAATTGAGTTTTCCCACATATCAACATATAACCCGATTCATCCAGAAATAAACAGTGTATGTGATGCGTTTGCTTCAAGTAATAGTTCTTTCGTGCAGAAGTTAGAGCAGAGAAATCGAGTATTGGGAGCATATTACATTTTTCATATTTCAAAAGCGAATTCCAGAAGGTCAAGTTTAAGTTTTATACACCTTAATTGGTCATTACGACTACTTTACGTTTATTTTAAGAATACAATAACTTATTTCAGTGTAATCATAAGTGCAACGAGTGGAATACCTAATTGTCCCAAAAATAAACAAACAGCCTAAGATTTCTCTGTAAGTCCAGGTTTAACGACTGGATGCTCCGACGGGGCAACAAGGACACTCCGGTTACATTCAAACGGCGTAGCTTTAATTAACATATCACAATTTTACGCGCTAATTAAAAAAATATTTAAAAAAAACACGAATCCACTTATAATTATTAGATTTTCATTAAAATGAAAAAAAAATGGATTGACTATCAAAATAGCGTCGAATTTACACATTTGTAAAGCTGTAATGTACTGTATTTCAACGTCTAGAGTTTATGCTGAGATATGTATCTTCTGATGAATCTGCTGATGTACCTTCATAAAAAGGCGCAAATTCCAGAATTCTCGGGAGTTTTGTATATATAAAAGTTGCTTTCATACAAAGCAAAGATAAAAATCATACGAACATACAGTAACATCAGAATTTGCAATAAAATGATCCAGCACTTTTGGTAACACAGAAATAATGTTTTAAAATCTGATAACAACGATGCTTCCCAGCGATCTTGTCCCTAGTCCGTGGTAATAACCGCAGTACGGTGCCTCCTTATTCAAAGCTCCATATTTTATGCTCGCTTTTGTGCAGCTCATGGCTCCAGTGTTAAATTAATCCAAAGGGAGTTTAATTGCAGTTTCAGTCCCACGTCGGCTGATTATGTAGCAATTCCACCAAAACCACAAAAAGGGCTACATTGAGTGGGCAAAGGCTTTGACTGGTGAGATTGTACTGCCAAAGGCTTGCATTTAGCCGGGAGACCCCCGACAGATTCGGGCCTGGAGGCTTTGAAGAGACAGCGACAGGGTTCCTCTGTGAGCGCCAGAGAACGATTTAGTCACTGTTTCATTAGGCATTATTTGAACCTTTCAACTTCTGGTAAATTGAGGGGGCAAGCTGAAAATGGAAGGATTACGTAGGAGGGGCCGTTGGAAAATTAGCTAACGGTTAATTTAACTCGTTTTCTGTCAGAGTTTGGGATACATTCCTAATTGAGTGGAGAAGCAGGTGAAACTCTGGTCCCACGCAGACCTATTCAAGGCGAGAATAAATGGTTTCTTTTAATTTCCCGCTGCTGATAATATATTATCGAGAAAAAGACACCTAATGAATATATATTGAATTTCTTATTAATCGAATTAGAATTCGCTCTTGCAGGTGTGGGAGTAAGGACCACCATCCTTATTAAAACGGGTTAACAATGGAGTTAACCAGTTTGCAGAATGTTCTCCTTTTTATATGAATATATAACCTGACCCGGATTCGCCAATACACAACCATGCATACAACATGTTTGGCGTACATTTTCATGGAAAAAAGCAGCAAATGCAAGCGAATTGAACAATCGTATTATCGGATTTCCTTTCAGTTTGTGAACAGGGTATGGAAAGAAAGTTGTATTCATTTTATCCACCAAAATTACCAGAATAAAGGTAAAAAATAACAGCAACTTAATTAGTTATCATTTAATGTTGCAACATCATCAGTTGAACTGACAGTGTTACATGTATACTAACAATAAATGCAATAGCCTATTCCGTAATAGAAGAATATGTAAAAAATTGATAGAAACTGAGTTATGTCTACGGAACACTTGATTAGGCGTCGGAAATACTCAAAACGACAAAGAGGTGGAAATATGCAAATAACTCGATATAAAACAGATACAATACTGAACGTCCAGGTTTCTCCAAAAGCCTCCGAATACCTATTGAAAATGCGGCAATTATGCATGACAAAGGACAATTAATAAGCCCGCTCTCAGGCGCTTGCAGCTGCTGGCGCATCGGGAAAAGTAGGAGGAAACTCGAGTGTGAAAGCACAGGGAAGTCGTGGGCTCGCGGGGACCTCTGCTTTAGTGGTGAATCCACAAGTGGGGCGTCAGCTTTCGCTCGATGTAAGAGACACCCATGTCAGCGGCTGAGTGCTTTTAAACCCATAATCCATCGCGGGATGCCCTGGGCAGGGCTCTCTGCGTGCCCGATAGGTGGCTGCTACAAAGATGATGAAACTGCGAATTCTAGACACGTGTCCCATCAATACCGCCTTTAGTGACTTAATTTAGTGAGTGCCCGGTCACCGCACAATATGTCTCGGCGCCCTTTGTCATTCTTTTCAGAAAGAATCCTTTTTAAAACGTGTCAACCACTTTTAAATGCATCCCTTTGTTTCGGTAGAGCGTGTCTCCTATATCATCAGCTTCATTTAGTGACTGGACTGAATTAAACAGTAACACTCCCCAAAAGCAAGGAAACTGAATAGGATAATAAATCATTATATTTCATCCGTCTCACCAACACTTAACCGACGCAGTACAAAAAGCAGGATATATTCATCAAAACAATGAAGGTTTAGTAATGTTCAGTTATGCTTGTCTGCAGCGTTTTAACACATCTTTAAATGATGATCATCATAACGATGTTTTCATAGATTTCTACGAATATTCTACCGTCATTTACATTAAACAGGCCACTTTACTGGCTCCATTATTGCACCGCAGCGAGACAATTTCAGGTTTAGGTAATTGCTCCTAATATTTTGTTAAGCATTTGTTTAAGGAGACATTGCGTACGTCTCAAGTGGGATTACATATTAATTAAATCCCTAATTATCAATCAGCATCGTACGATTCAGTCTGAAGAACTTGCCTTTCGAAAAATGCACTACAATCACGTCTGAAGAGGGTAAAACGAAAAGGTTGAGAGTGCTTCAAAGCCTCCCGGCTCCTGTTAATCTCCATGAGTGTAGGCTATCACATTCACGAGACGTTTTGTGTCTAAAATGTGGCGAAGTGATAGTTTGTCGCAATCAATACCGACAAGGTGATAGTCTACCTTTACTCTACGTCATAAACAGGAGCACAGCCCTTAATGCAATTTCATTTACTTTACTGCGCCCGTAGCATCCGGAATATGCACGGACTCCCGCGACCCTGACAAGCGGCTAGAAAAAATGGATAGATGGATGGATGGATAGATTTTCCTTACTTAACTTGCAAATGGTTTAACAATGCTGTCCCCAAGGTGGGTTTTAATTCACTTGCAATTTTTAACTCTAAAAATAAATATAGCATAATAAGTAGTTTATTATGATTGTAGTTGTTGTTTGGGCTCTATGTAGGCCATTGGTTGTGCACTTTTGTGTTTATGATTGCGCGTGAGTATAAGGAGTCTGTGTGCGTCGGCGTTAGTAATTTATATATTTTTTTTATCAAACCCGCACACCACAATATAATGAGATAAACAGCAGTAAGAGCTTCCGTTAATTCGACCTTTATAGTCCCCTTGGCCCCCACCAGCAGGAAATATTCTTCTTAGCTCTGTTTCTGTTCTAAATCGGTCCTGATCAATGTTTGAAACTTGAAGATAGGCTATCATTGTTTGCCCCCCAAGCACGTCACGTTGACTGGCACTTACACATATTTACACTGGTAATCAATCTTGTTCCGCTCCTGGAGGCGGACGCAGCTCTGCCCCTGTTGCGAAACGTGGTTAAAGTACACGCGGAGAGATGTCACTCAGAACAAGAAAAGACAAAGAAAACAGTATACTTATAAGCTGAAGGCGACTTGCACGGCTAAGATCTTCTTATTCACTACAAGTTTAAATAGCATTCATGTTTCACAGAACTAACCCGTACATGCGCAAATATTATAACAGCTCACAAAGACTATAAATGATTACCCAATTGACTGTTCGCCACTCGTCACGTGACTACCAGGTAAGCATCCAGTGCAGGTGCATTAGTCCGTGAGTCGTAAGTGCAGACGCTGGGAACTTGCATGGACGTCTTATTGCGAAGCTGACTTCTGGCAACCCGCGCTCGTCATGGACAACCTGGATATTTGTTATGACAACAGCTATGATTCCCGTGGCCAGGTAGACTACAGCTATGAGCCCCCCGCTTGTCTGTTCGCACAGGGGGCCTGTCAAACCCCGCTGATGAGGACACCCTATAACTGCTTCGACGAGCACAGCAGGAGTGAGAGCGTGCCTTCCGTGCCCCCTGCGTGCTTGCACTCTAATCTGGAGCAACAGCACACCTATGAGTACCTGCCAAGCAAAGGCCGGCCGGAGGAAGACTACCTCTCAGCCAAAGGCCGCGTAGCAGAGGAGCCTGTCGGGCCGGTGCCCTTCCCGTGGATGCGAAGCGCAAGGGCGCATCCGTATCTGTCGCCGCTTCCAGGTGCGCTCTTTGCGATCCGTAATTTTTAAATGAATTTATGTTTCGTTTAAAAATAGTATAGGAAAATATTAATTAAATAGGAAGAAAACAATGGGACTTTCCTGTAACATATTATTTCGTCACAGCTTAAATTATTGTGAACTGCTACCGGAACAGGTGTTGAAAAAAGCACATAATAACACATAGTGAAATTTTATACTAATGGAAATATTGCTCTTTTGACACATATAGCCCTAAAGTCAGATTAGATTACGGTAGCTCTGGATGAACAGAAAGTGGATATTTCTATAAACCACCCCATTGTCCGGTTTTTCCAGGTGGGCCTTTCCAGGAGGACCTAGAAGAGAGCAAGAGGAGCCGCACGGCGTACAGTCGAAGTCAACTCCTGGAGCTGGAGAAGGAGTTCCATTTCAATAAGTACATCTCAAGGCCCCGCAGATACGAACTGGCGGCCACCCTGAACCTCACGGAAAGACATGTCAAAATCTGGTTCCAGAACAGGCGGATGAAATGGAAAAAAGAGGAGACGAGAAAGGTCAAAGACTTCAACGTGGAGCCTGCTAAGTTAAACAAAGAGGACGACAACGATGAGGATAAAATTGAATAGAAAGACCAGTCCAATGAAAGGACACAGAGGAATATATGTCTTAAAGAAAATATGTCTAGACTATATGCTACACTTAATCAAAAGAAGGCTTTAATTACAAAGAACTTTTTTACTTTCATTTCATTACATTTTTTTAATTTCTATAGAATCATGGGGTTAAAGTCAACAGTAGTTTTCACATTTACGTTAGAATAAAATAACGACGTGGGGCAATGAAATAAATAATAAATAATATAACGAAGATTAAAATTATTTCTGACATCGAATTTTCAACTGAATTCATTAGAGTGAAACCCGTCAACTTGAATATAATTGAAAAGGGTTTTAACACTTAAACATTAACCTTTTCGAGAGACGTAAAGAAGAAAAGAACATTTTTCCGGAACAGGCCTTCAGTTTCATTAAGGTGCAGGTGTGCTTACCTGATTTTGTTTGTTTGTTTGTTTGTTTTTTGTTTAACGCAATGTGTTGTTATCTGTGGAATTAACAAATAGTCCCTCTCGCTCTTCCTCAATGTACTATACATGATGAAGTTTACAAAATTTAAATATTTCTTATTTAGTCGTTTTAGGCCTTACAGTACTTTGTTACCTGGACATGTTACCGTTACACCGCCTAGTATGGCTAAATTATACATAGCTTATTATTATAAAAAATTATACACATTCATAAGCGTAATGAGAGTTTAGCGTATTATTTCCCTGCTGAATGAGCGTCTAATTCTGCGGACAACTTTTGCGAATGACAATGAATTGCCAAGATTTTGACACAACAGTCAACAGAGACGCTTCATTTTTTCAATACTTTTTAAAGACCATTTCTCATAATCAGAAATGTTGCTGTTTATTGGCTTGTGGGTATTATTAATGGCGCATTTTTAACAAGACTAATGATATTACATTTTAATGCAATTCTTTTTATTTTATAAATTAATTTCAGCAAATAAACTTAGTAAAAGTAAACTTCTTTGCCTGGGCGAGCAGATAATTTCAATATTAATTATTTAACACTTGAAATTTCATAATTATTTTTAACAGATTTTAAAATCGCGTTAATAATAAGCACACGATATTTTTGCAGGGCTGTTATTAATTTTACTATGACAGCAGTAAGCTGAAACGTTTCACTGATAAAGAATATTATAACAAAAATTTACGCAGACTGGATTTAATAACGGCCTATTTTTATTGTTTGGTTTGAAGATCACACAAGGAGCAAGAGGCTAATAAGCAAAGGCGCGTATGTGATGGGCCCATTTTGCTACAGAACCATACTCTGCAAGCTACATGTTAACGCATGATATCTGCATGCTAACAGCACAATGTGTCCTACGTAAGATGCGTGTTTATATCTATAGAAAACAAACAAACACCAGGGGGCGTTGCTATTAAGGAGTGATCATGCGGTATAATTGAATAATTTGGCAAATATTTGCTAGAATTAAATTTGACAAACAACAGTGGAAAGAAAAAACACAAAATTCCAGCTATTCCGAGTTCATTCGCCATACAAAAACAGCCGACTTGAATTTATACAAAATGCGATCCAGTATTATAATAGAAAACACCTAAAACCTAAAAGTGAAGGCCACTTTTACAACGTAACATAAAACCCAATTCGGTGTTTTGCTTATTTGTTCTCATCGATAGAGGTTTAGCACTAAATTATTTTTAAGCCAAGTCTTTCGGAAGTTTCCTTACGCGCAGCGTCAAAGATATATTAGAGTGTCGGATAATTTATGGTACGATCAGTGACGCCTGCTGTAAATGTGAATGGCTCCCAGCCTGTATGAGTGCCTCAATTTAAAAGGACGAAAGACAAAATTTTCTTTTAAAAACGCATCTTATCCATGTTAAACAAACAAACCAACAAGTTTAACACATTCAGGCGCATGTTAGAGGAATTCTAGTGCAACAGGAGATAATGTGTTTATCGCACTCGCACACTTGATATGACGTTGTTTAAAGAAAACCTCGTAACCGCTCAAGAAACAATAATATCCTGAAAATGACAGATTTAAGATAAATAAAATCTCGACACGCCTATTGCAGTATTTTTTTTGTTTTACCATTTATGTAATGCTCTTCATCCCGGAATTGTACCTGGCGACTTATCGCATGGGCGTGTGTAAAGAACTTTAATAACTACAAATTTCGACAAGAAGCCATACGTTCGCGATATGATTTTACACTTTTTTTGATGTATGCTTATAAAAACTCCCGGATGAAAACAAATATTTTCTGTGCAAAACTAGTGTGTATATTGTACATGGCCATTGCTGATAGTCCGTAAGGCAAACATCAAGAACAAGTATGACTTTTGGCCCCCATTTGTGCAAACAAGAGGGCCACTGTGCCACCTCGTCTGGACGTGCAAATCTCTGTCGCTCGGCAACACACATCAACACAGATCAACACAATCGAGGAAAAACCTGCATTATCCATAATAAGCCACCAAATGGGTTTTTCAGGCGAACAGAAAAAATGTCTTCCTAGTCTACAGTATATACCTACATTTCTTAACTGTATCCCTGGAGTTTGCTTGCTATGTAGCTTACTTTCTACTTTTCCTTGTTACCCGACTTCCGCAGTTTTAGTCTGTCTTCAGTACAATCGATTCTGACGCCTGTATAATTAGAACTGAATGATATACACAGTGTCCCGCCATGGGTTAGCGCCCCGTCCTGGATTATTGTCTGCCTTGCGAATTATTTCCCATATGGACTCCGGAACCCGAGGCCCAGCACTAGACAATCGGGTTTAGAAAATGAACGAACGAATGAACGAACAAGAGAACGAATGAATGAATAAATGAACGAGACGAAACACGCAATGCCCCGGGATGGGTTGTCCTGGGTTACTCTCTGCCGTGTGCCCGTTTTTTCCTGGAAAAAACAATGTAATACATAATATAAGACAAGCGGATATGAGAAAAGAATGAATGAAACGCATATTACGAAGCATCTAAACTCTGGCCATGTGCATGGGAGTCATGGGTGGAAAATTCTGCTACACACCGCAATACAATGCTAATTATCATTATTGCCATGAAGCTGCGTGAGCGGCGTGTCCTCCTGAATCCAGAACCTGGGGTGAGTTTCCCGAAGCATTCTTAACGCTACGACGATTTTACGAACGTCGTAGCGTTAAGAATGCGTCGGGAAAGTTGCAATAAATAAGGCTTCGGGAAGCTCACCCAAGGCCAGTGGCGGACATTTCAGGTCCAGAAAGTAAAAATCCAAATCAGGATTTTGTTTCAACCAACCAGTAAAGTACTCTGTGACTGTGACTCTTTATGCTCAACGGGTTGGTTGAAACAAAATCCTGGTTTGGATTTTTACTTTCTGAACCTGAAATGTCCGCCTCTGCCCAAGGTCATTACATTAGGCAACTCCGTGACGCTTAAAGAGCTTTAGATCTCTTTTATATTTTCTAGATTACATGTTCATGAAAGTGCACATGCTGCTGGTCCAAAGCTTATTAATTGCCTCTCTCAGAGGTATATCCGCAGAGCCCTTCCTGACTTGGCATCTAATGCGTGCTCATAATCACCAGGTTGATCTGCTGCTGTAGCTACTTCCCATATAATCTAACCACTACTGGCTCCACGAAGAAAAATGTGAAGGGAGTAGCACGGTAGCAAGTAATTGATTCATCTGGGTGAGAGACATATAGCTGCGGACCGGGAAAGGTGACCACCCACCACCCCTCATTTCGGAAGTCCACATTATTCAAGACTCATCTGAACGTACTAATTCGTTTTCATCCAATTATTAGCTTTGAAAAGACACAGGAATACGTTTGATCATTTGAATTGAATGATGTGTGTGTGGATTAGTTTTAAATTACATTGTGAGGACCAAATGTCCCACACAATGTAATAAAAACCAGTTGTTTTGTTTGACGTTTTGGGAACCATTTTTCAGGTCCCCACAAAGATCTGTGAATGCAACCAAAAAAAAATGCCAAAAGTCTCGTATTTTGTTTGGTTACTCATGGTTAAGGTTAGGGCTGGGTAGGGGTTAAGGTCGTCATGTTGGGATTAGTGTTTCCCCCGTAGAAATGAATGGAACGTCTACACAAAGATATAATTGCAAACCTGTGTGTGTGTGGGTATGTGTCTGGGAGGGTGGGTGTGCGTGTGTGTGCGTGTGTGTGTGTTTGTGCGTGTGTTTTCTTTACGAAGGCTATCCAAAGCAGTATGATCACAATACTTTGAACGTTGTCTGTTAATCAGAGCACTGCAAACATAACCATGCAGTCCGTTTGTGTACTGGTCTCATTCTCTGGCCATGTAGTAATCATTCCCAGTCTTCACCAGACTAAGCAGTCGGGATTCAGTGATGAACAACGAAACCCACTGGTTCCAGTGCAGCTGAAAGGTCCTCCCCTTTAGGAGAAACAAAACACAGCTGAATACCCTCAAGGTATAAATGAATCAGTGCAGATTTCGGAGGCAGTTGAATTATAGACAGAAAAAGATTGAATTAAATATTTTTAAGGGTTTAAAAGCTTATAATCATGAAGGTTTAATTGTTATAAACATTTTGATTATGACAGTAATAGGACGATTACATCGCATTTAGTCTAACGCATTTTTCACGCAAAAAAAAGAATAAAAATAAAAATAGACAGCAACCGGGAACAGAAAAGGAGGAAAAACAGCCCCAAATGTTTTGCTTTCCTTGGCCGAAGGAATATCTTGGTGTAAATCCAAATAGGTTCCGAAATGCCAACACACAACAAAATGCACGTATCTTACCATACGAAAATGCACGATTCATGTATTATATGAAGCTACACACGAACAGCCACACTCTCAGGATACTTTCACATACTTTCAGGATACTTTAGGAGGTGCTCTGTACTTGCCTATTGCGAAGGAAGATTTCTACACGTAACAGTGTATAACAATCAGTTTCAGTAAGAAACTAAAATGATTACAGTCCACCATTAGTATTTGTAATAAATCAACGATTTTCTTATGTCAGGGACCCGTAAAGCCGTGTGTAGAATGAGGTAAATGTGTATGTATATGTGTACGAATCCTGACCACAACCGAAAGTTCAGCATCCCAACTACAGAGATCTTTCAAAGCCAGAAACGTTAATGGTTGTAGTTATCCGATTTAATGAACCTAGGAGACACATGAACTGACAAAGACCTTGTATCCTTCGGAAATCCATGTTATTGTTGCTAATTGTATCTGTATACACTGACAAAATCCTTGGAGCATACCAAAAAATATTAGCCCAGTAATAGTCAGACATCTTTGTGCGGGGGCCTTTCGGTACTCTGTTAGTTAAGAAGATAACTATGACTTGTCATGAATGGTATTCGATAAGCAGGTAGGCCTAATTAACAGAACGTACCTAAAATACAGGCAAAATTTAGAAATAGACTTAAACCCCAAGAATTCCGGACTTAACTTATCTAGTTACCGGTTTTACGTTTACTGCGGCATTTTATATTTCACTACTTAATAATGTTTTAAGGAAGTCTCAGAAGTAATTAAGGCACTGAATTTAGCTCAGGGTCGACACAATACGTTAAGATACATAGGACTAAAACGGCACCCAAACAGATATATATTCTAAAACTAACGCTATGATTAAGTGTTCTATAAACAGATTGGGGCTTATTCTAAATTTTAATGAGAACATTCCCACGTAAACACAGTTTAATGGGCTGAAAAATGAATGGGTTATTTTAGACAACCTCTAATGCGAAGCGCCATTTTGGCTAAATTGTTTGCAGATGTCAGCTTAAATATCTATATTTGACGCACGTGTTTGGTGCATGCGTGAGCTTCTATTTAATATTTATTAACCTGTCAGATGTTGACAGGTTACTGTTACTTTTTTTGCATTGTGAAATATTTCAGCACAAAAAAATCAGGTGAGACTCAAAATCAAATTAATTTATTTGAAAAGAAACGATGTATTTTGGCAGCTGTTTAAAATTTTATTTAAATTATTTTTAACTAAATTAAGCAAACTTGTTTAGGTAAGTACCGTGTCCGCTGGTGCACTTCCGGTTATTAATTGTAATTGTGCGTTTATGGTACTGGGCAAAGTATTAAAGTTATAGTACAAATGCTTATTGTTCTAGTAGCTGTTACTGTGAACACAATTCCAATGGGCTATTAAGAAAACAGCACCCACTGCACTTACCGTGGGTTAAAACACATTGACTATGAATGACTAAATATAATAAGAAATATTTACAATTATATATCATATATTATCATTTACAATTTCAGCTCATTGTGTCTGAATATGTACTTTCTTTTCGAAATAATGGAAAGTTTATTTAGATGTTTTGTGATGCATTGTTTTTGAAAAGCAACGTAAACACGGTATTAGATGTATTAGTTTTAGATAGATACAGCAAACGAGATTCTTGATAATTATCAAGTCTCTTCAACCACTGATTAAGTCTTCAGCTTCAATGTATTAAGTTGACTTTAGAAAGTGCATTTAATCATTAAGCCTAATTCTGAAAATCAAATAAAGAACTGAAGGTAACGTTACATGTAACCACTTGAAGGCTTTGTAAGCAAATACACATAGGGATTAACTGTATTTAGATAAAGAAATTGTTTTGGAGGAGCAGCGAAAGTCAAAATCAGTTTGGCCGAGTAAAGGAAGCTTGATACTGTTACTCGCCGATACTTGAATATTAACGAAATTAAAACTGTGTTTGTTTTTTTTCTTTCGATCTTAGAAGACATTCAGTCGCAAAGTAAATCGCAAATTCTGAATTGCAGCGCCATCGTGTGACGCGAGGTTTCTTAAGGTTTTTTGGAATTGTATTGTCATATTGTTTTTCACCCAAACCTTAACAAAATTATGCCAGTTAGCATGTGACAAGCCAGTGTGAGTATAGCGATAAAATATTTAACATATTTAGGGAGAGGAGAGAGAGGAAATAGGGAGGGGTGCAAGACGGGGGGGGGCTTAAGCTCGGAGGCCAGAAAGGCGCAGCTGACGCAGACTTGCCATCAGGCGGTAACATTCGTCTCATAGCGGACATTCCAGCGCATTTAAAAGTGGAAATGCGCATAAACATCACTATTAAATTATTTCAAAGCTGGCTGGTGGCAACGCCCCTGCGTGTTTATGAAAAAGCAACTTGACATTAATTAGTTTACGCGACAAAGTAAACCGCTATGAGAAGTTACCTGACAACATTCCTTTTAAAGGAAAACAGAGCAGGACGGATTAAAAACTTTAAAAGTCTGTTACGGTATTCGATTAGTGTAAATGGTCCACACAAGACCATATAGTGGTTATAGACAGGATACAAAACCACGGAAGAATACATTGTAAATTTGGAAGACGGATGGGATATATAACTTTCTAATGGCTGTTTTTTTTAAAGTACTTTTTGTTTTAATTGCGTGTTATAGCCTATTAGTAGGCCTATTACGGTTACAAGAATCGTCTTTACCTTAATTTTAAATTCTTTATTTGATTATACAGTTAAATGAGCGACAACCGTAATAATGTTTTGAACAACTCTTTTTCCTTTTTACTGTTTGGGGTAAATTAACTATATGGTTGCGGTCTCTCGATGGTGGAGGTGGGATCAGTGAATGGCAATATTACAAGATTTAACAACACCGCTGCTTTACTGAAATTCTGCAATGGCAACGTAGTTTGACGAAGCAGCTTTCCACGGTCATTTTCCCACGATACGTTTTAAATGTCACCCAGCTTTACTATGTTGTGGCAGTCCTGGAAATATATTTAAAAAGGCCTCGCAAATAAAAAAGTACAAAGCTCGGGCCTTTTGTGAGCAGAACAAGGCGGGCTGTTCATTGTGCGTTTTTTTTTTCTGCAGGAACATGTGGAAGTAATCGCGGGGTGGTAGGTTCAGAGAGTCGTGGATGTATTTTTCTGTGCAGGACTGCTACAGGCGTTGCTGGAGCTCATTGGTGGGTAGATGCCTTATGCGATAGCCGCGGGCAGAGCCCAGCGCGCCCGACACAGCATTCGCGTACCTATTCGCGCGCATATTCTCATTAAATAATGCACTTTCGTGGTTCCATTCTTGTCCTAAGTAAAAATGGGAAACCACCATTTCTCGATCTGGGGAGGCTCAAACCACTGACACGAAAACACCGAAATCGTCATGGAACCGTGAAAAATACAATTCAAAGTTTAAACGTTTACCTTTTTGACGAGGACAGTTGCACATTTATTGTGGTGTTACAGTGCCCCCTGTTTTCGTCCATGGTATAGGCAACGGAATAGGCACGAGACGCAATTTGGACTCTTATGGCAAAAAAAAAAAAAAACATTTCGGAAGGCATCTGTACTGCGTAAACTATTCACAGACACCCTAAACATTTAGTTAACATCACACATAATAGTTTAAATTATATAGGGTCTGCTGCAAATAATCAAATTTCACTGCATCCTCCTATTTGTATAAAGCTGCGCAAATGAAGGCAAAAGGTTAGATAGTCGCTATTAACAACTAGCGGACATAGTAGAAAATATATATGCAAACTTTTAAAATGTTACATTTTTGCAATTTTACCAAATAGTATAATACATCAAATGCCTTTAAAGCATCCAATGACCTGGGTATAACTTGGGCTGCCATCGTTCTGGCACTTCCTAACGAAACGATGTTTCTCTAGTGGATAGTTCGCCTCTTTCACAAAAGCAGCACCAGGGGAAGAAAAAGCTTACTCTGCGAAACATATGTTTTTTTTTTTTTTTTACCTCTCCGCTTCCTCATGTGCCTCGAAGGCTAAGCCGAGGACTCTTATTTTGAAAACTTTCGATGAGGGAAAGGGGGGTTCATTTCCTGATCCCTATTTACTCTAAGGCAGATGATTACTTTTAGGGGAGGATGGACTGTTACATTGAATCAATTACGGGTCGCTGTGCTTGGAGCGCATTCTGAGCGCAGCGGCGGAAGCTGGCAGAGGAGCGCCGGAGCCTCATGCTCTACGCGCAGGATTTTATCCGACGCATCTGTTACTGGGATCCAAGGACTGGCACCGGAGCGTAGATGATTTTTTAACATTCATCCAGGGGTTACCTTAATTAAGAAAAACACCCAAACGGAATTTTAAAAAGGTATTGTATTGGCTTCTTTTACAGATAATTTAAACCGACACCCCCCCTCTCGCAATGTAGGTGGTATTTCGCAAATTTCAACATTTCGGATGGTTTTTTTGTGGGATTATAAGATAAATTCACGGAAAGTGGGATCTAATTAAAATGAAATGTAGTTATATGGAATTGGTTTCTGTTTATATACGTCTACGCGTCTTTCGCTTGTTCATTCAACATATAGAAGTTTGGTCAGCATTCCAAATACAGATGTGACTTTTTTTCTGGATTTTTTTTAAGTTCACAAGGACGTGGATTCCTTTAAGCTTCTTAATTTTTGCGACGGAGTTGATCATTTTACTGGGATATTGTCTGTTTTCACACGACAAATGGCTTCACCTCCAGACGCTTGTCTGAGGTACGCTGATGGGTCTGGATGAAAGAGGCTGATTTCGACTTCGCAGCGGGAGATGTCACCCGGACACCGCGGGGCTTCACCCAGGATGGGGCTAAAGAGGTTAATGGGAAAGCGTTTGAAAACGAGTGCAAAGCTATTTGCATTCATGCATATGGGATCTCACATTTTCGCATGGAATATAATCACTTTGCGTTTTCACTGGAACGTGTTTTTTTAAGGGATCTTACTGCACTCTAAAGCTAAGATTCAAGGGAGACCTTTCTCCCGAAGGGAATTGAGGTTGGGGAAAATCGTTTTGTACCTCTTATCGGTGTTAGTTTTTTTTTCCAGTTTTAAGAATTATTTGGTTACGTCGTTCCTAAGAATTTAAATTGTGTCGCTGGGAAACACTGGTTTCACCCATACGAGCTATCATTCGCCTGGTTTTCTATTTGGTGTATTTCAATGGAAATTAATTCTTCGTGTGTGGGATTGGTTTTAGCCGTCAAAAAAATATGTGGAAGGCCGTCGGTTGGAATAAACTTCTCAACTACGTTTCATTTCACGGCACCGCTTCGGTACTGTGAGAATCGGCATAGAAACGCCCGAATAGAGGATACGGGCAATCTTCTTGTCTGGCTGCTAAAAAATGGACAGCTATTGTAAAACTGGGCGATTGGCGTGGTTAAACAAGAAGATCATCCTCTCTAAGTGGTTGAAAAAGATCAGAAGTTTGTAAAATTAAGGCGTTCGTAGGTTGAATTTCCAAGCAGCTCTTGTGCTTAAGCCACCTCCGCAGAGCGATACTTAATTACAGTTCCGACACCCCAATATTTCTCTGGGATAATTGGTCTATTCTGTGTACATTGTGGCAAACTCGGCGGGACTTCGGGATGGATTTCGTCAGCATAGGCCTAACTTTTATAAGTTCTTTATGGTTATGTAAGTAAGTAAAGGCAGAGGACGGAAATTATAAATACAGCGTTCAGTGTCACACAAATCATCGCAAATTCCTGTTTTCTTCTGCTAAGGACTGAGCATTTGCAAAACCATTTGCATCATACAAATGCCACGAAATGGAGCATGCACTGTTTTGCACGCGTTTAATTGTTATGTCTGGTTTAGAAATAGAGGACAAAACGCCTGGATATGAGAAAGTTCGAATTGCACTCTGTTGAAAGCGTAGTCCCTGCGCATCTCTGCGTGCTGTTCTGTGCCCGTGCGGCTACGCTGCAGCGCTGATAGAGTCCAGGGTCCAGAGCATCAGACTCTCCGCCTAACAGATAAAAAACAGATTCCTTCGCTGTCTCTTGGGCAATTTCTCCACTGACGAACCGGGCCACACTGATTAGAAACATTCGACCAGATGAGGTCTTTGACAAGAAGTTTCGGGGGTGGGGTGGGGGGCGCGGAAGTTTAGATAGTGTGTTACTAAAATAGACTAATAATTCTCTTACTAATGCAATTATCATCATAATCACGGATCTTGCTTAAGCAGATAGGCAACTAAAATTTACCCTCGAGAAATGGGTTGTATTGTGAAACAACAAAAAACTTTTGATGACTTTAGTTTTCTTGCTTGAAAATTAATTTAACGTTTTCTTGGTGCGTAAAATTACCCAAAAGGCACATTAGGAAATTCATTCATTCAGAGATTCAACCAATATGAGCTGTGATTCCAGCATATGCATCTCATTCTAGTCGAATGTGCACTGAAGCAATTAAAAATATCCAATGTCTGAATATAGGCTATTGTCACTCGCGAAAACTTGTACTGCTGCGCCCTCTTGCGGCTACCATGGGAAGAACACCCTCCTTATTTTTCCTATCTTGTTGCGTTGGCAAAGTGAAATTCAGTAACTTCCAACATTTTTGTGGCGCCGCTAAGGGACACACAGGCATTTGGCTCGGCAAACCTTTCATGACAGATTCTTGTAGTTGCTGACTAATTTTGGGTCTTGCTTAAAAACGTAGTTATGAAATCGATGTTCAGATAGATTGAAAATTTTGAAATTCATGCTACGTGTGGGGATGTTTCCAATAAATTGCGTGCCTGCTTCTCTTAAGAGTAAATAATTAAAATCTGGTCCAAATATTGTTAAGATGAATTTGACGATTTCGTTTTGTCGCCCCAGCTTACATTGACGCCTGGGGCCATGGGTGTCGCGTGGGCCATCCTTTCATTTGGAGTCTGTTTCATCGGGATCCTCTTAGGTAACGTAACAATGCTTTATTTGCGTTTATTTCATTATTTATTATAGTCATTTATAATTGATTAACTGGGAACAAATGGGAAAGTATGTAAAACATTTCGTTTAGCAAATCATCCTGAATACCATTTATATAAACACCGTTAATTTGACATTGTCATCCGATGCAGGTCCCCGGGCCATTAAGAGCGAGTCTTCACCTCCACTCATCCATCCCGACCTGCCCGAGCTTGTTGTTAAACGTCACGCCAGCATCAATTTGACCTGTTCCGGGACGAGGGCCGTCAGCTGGGTGCCCCCGCTGTCGGACAATGCCGTGGTTAAACGGGAAGACCACCGAACCGCCGTGCTGATGATTAAAGACGCGTCCGCCGCCAACACTGAAGCCCTAGTGTGCGAGTACGACGATTGGCAGGGTGCAGAGGAAGATAAGCAGGCTGAAATATACATATTTGTACCTGGTAAATAAATATACATGTTCCCCATGCAAAATTTAAGTTTATGTATCCCACAAGGTGTGTAACTCAATACAAATTTTGATGCATAGAGTAATTGTATATATTATTTTATAGACCCAGAGATTCCATTCGCTCCCGAAAATGTCTCAGGGGAAACGGACCTTTTGACCGACATCCCTTGTCGCGTTACAAACCCGGACTGGCACGTCGTGCTCAGAAGTGTCCATTCCCGGACGGAGGTGCCCGCACCATATTTCAACAAGATCGGCTTCCTGGGGACTTTCCCCGAAGGCTCCTACGTGTGTGAAACCACCGTGAACGGCAAGACTCGGAGCAGCGCCATCTACACGGTCAAGGCCGATCGAGGAAAAGACGGTAAACAGAAAAGCCCGACGGCGCGTTTATTGCAGTATCTACAGGCGGCGCTTGTACATATACGCAGTAGGATAGACAGCTGAACCCTTAAGCAAAGTGCTTAATTGCTTTAGAAAAAAAAACATTTGCGTACGGGATTAAAGATTTGGATTGGATAGGAGCGGGCTAATCAGATAACGGCGAGGCAAACCCGTCCCAGGGAATCGTTTGTGCCAACGTGCGGTTAATGAAGTTATCGGTCGAGAAGTGTTGAAATAACTATTTTAACATTACAGACATTTTACGTGGTAGCCTAACATAAATATTTCTGTAGAATTGAGAAAATGTACACACTTTGATAATGAACGACTTAGTAGGCCACTTGTAGAGGGTTCCGTTTTTTTTTCCTTATGATGTGGGACAGAAAGCACATTACCTGATCTTCCAGGTGTTGCTGTTGTAATGAATGTTGGAGCAGAAGTTTCTGGTCTCACTTACATGTGGACACAGGAGAAGATACAAAGTACAGTATTGTATGGAGTGAGCACTGATATACTCTGGGTCAAAGAGCATGTAGTACAGTCATTGTCCTACATGAGTGTGCCTCTAAGTATATGTTGGGGTGGGAGGGGTCTTCAGGGATGAATGAGTTCACATCTCATATTACATGAGGGAGGAGGGCAGTAGTGGGAGAATAACTGTCCTTCATTGGACTGGTCTTGTCTGGTGGGAGGGGCGTTTCCACAACACTCCGGGAAATGAAAGCGGAAATGCCACGGCACATATCTGGAGTCTGCTGGCTTACTGCTGCCCCCCCCCCCGTGTGTAACCTCATACCTCCCCCCTCCCAGATGATTTCCAGTTGAAGCTGCACGCCAGTCAGCCAGCCGTGCGGGTGGGCGAGCCCTTCAGCCTCACCTGTGAAGGCCCCGCTGGGGACTCGTACCAGCAGACGTGGCTGCACCCCAGCAAGCAGGCAAGGGCTCCCGGCCGGTTCTTTGCTGTGTGGCTACGCTGCAGCGCTGATAGGGTCCAGGGTCCAGAGCATCACAGAGGAAAGGACTCGGAAAACATAAGTCCTGTCAAGGAGCTGACTTCGCGTGAAAACAGCTATGCTGAGCTTCCAGTGAAAGCAGTATTGGAGGAGGAGCTAGACATCATTTTACAACAAAGCAAGAACACAAGACCACTATTCAAATCATCAAAAAGCGACATTAAAAGCATTCAGGGAGCGTGGAGTAGTACCAGGCTGCTTGAGGTTTTCTTGGAACAGATGGATCTTGACATGTTCCTTAAAGGTAGACAGGGAATTTGATGACCAGATATAGTTCAGCAGCTCTTTCTGCCTGTAAAGTCACCTTCCTAGATGCCCCACAATGTCAGGAAAGAAAGAGTACCAATTAGTACCTTTATGTGTCACTTGGGCTGTACCTGGGGAGTTTTTAGCTATCAAAAAGATCAGGGGCTAAGTGAAGTTTAACTGGGGCTAAAGAAACGACATCTGGGCTAAAATACTCAGGGCTATAACCCCGAGTGAATGGACCTGTCGACGCCCATGGCTGTACCTTCAAAGTCTGCCAATTTTACTCCAGCTGTAGGTAAATGTACCTTATAGTTGAATTTAAGTTACAGACTCTGAGGAACATCCCCAAGGTACAAACAACATGGATGTGCCCCCAAGGTACAAAAATGTTCCTCATAGTCCATTTCTGTACCTTCAAAGGTACAATTACGTACAGCTATAGGGTACAATTGGCAAGCCTTTGAGGGTACAGGCCAAGTGACAAGGCAAGGTACAAACTGGTACTCTCCTTTTTCTGACAGTGTACCTGTCCTTACCTGCTCTTGCCTGTCGTCTTCCTCCAGATCACTGGTGCTGAAGAGAGCAGGCAGGCTGTTGCTGGGACCATGCACTACGCCCTAAGCATCCGTGCAGCATCTGAGCAGGACACCGGGTTTTATGACTGCGCCGTCACCGATACTCTGACCGGCATGACCAGAGTCCAGAGGGTGTCTGTCACGGTCTTACGTAGGTTGCGTTCCTGGACCTTCATAGAGAGCTCCGCCTCTCACAGCCCATTTCACCCAAAGGCTCTACTTTTTCGCCAGCGGGTACCACGTTCATCAGACTGGACCACAACATCGCGCCGCTGGAATTTTCGACCAGTCTGGAAGAGAGTGTGTTCAGCGTCTTCATTGATGCGTACCCTGCCCCCAAAGTCCAATGGCTGAAGGACAATGTGGCCATTGATGAGAGCCAACATAATATCTTCATCAAATTTAACGCAATCACTGCTAACAGGTAAGGATCAGCTTCTTTTGTATTTTTGTATTGTTTCCTGTTGACAAAAAACTTTTTATAGTTTAAGAATAATTATTTTTAAATGAGGTGTCAAACCGCCTATGCTTGCTATACATGTTTCTATATGGGCAGGTGAGTATTTGGGCAGGTTAGTACTTGGTCAGGTGACACTTTAGTCATGTGATCCAGTCACTGGAGGCAGGGTACTGAGAGAGCGAGAGGTGATGTAAATAGACTAGATCAGGGTGACTCTCAGATGTTTTCTCCGGACATCAACAAATTTCTGGCGTTTGTGGGTGACCTCTTGCTCCCCCCCTCCCCCACTTCACAGGTACCTGAGCAGACTGACGCTCTCCCGCGCCCAGGAGGGCGACGGTGGGAACTACACGATTGTGGTCTCCCATGAGAAGGTGCCGCTCGATGGCAAGGCGGTGCATTACTCCTTCCAGCTGAGAGTGAGAGGTGAGACCCACGTCGCCCCCTCCCTGCTGCCCTGCAGCTTAGCCATACTGTATGTGCTGGCCAGCAGGAATAATCCATGCACCAAAACATTTTTTTCACAAAAAAATAGTGAGATATTAAAACTAGTGCAAATAAATAACATCACCCAATTCATTCAGAGGGGTTTCTTCTGATTTTTTCTTCACTCGCTCTTTTGCATCCCAGAATCAAATGGTGCCCTAGGCGGTCGCCTATGTCGCCTGAAAGACAAGCCGGCCCTGCACATGCCCTCCACATACTGACAGAATATGCACATGAGTGTAACACTAGACAAGAGCTAACAAGCTAATGGAAGCCACCTTCATGTACACAATATATTGTCATCCTGAGCGAGCTAGCTTTTAGACTGCATAGGCAAAGACATAAGCATTCATAATGCATAGTGCTAAGTCTGTATCATCTAGATCTCAATTTATGCCCACAACAACATGGTATCAACCCAAGCACATTACAGTGGCTTGGCTTAGAGAACCACACCTGCCATTTTGGACAAGACTGTTGGTTCTCTTCCCATTGGGATCCCAGAAACTCAAGAGGCAGGGAGTTTTGGTTAACAGCTAACGCAAAAATGAAAGGGTTTGCAAAGCTCTGGATACTGTTGGATAACCAGCTTCGCAAGACTCTGCTCAAGTGTGTGGGGACTGTTGGAAAGCTCAGTCCCAAATATTTGTGTAAAACCTCACTAAAATTTAAATCTGGATAAAATTCAATGCAATAAAAAAAACCCAAAGAGTCTGTTTTTATGTTTCAGGCGCCGATCCGCAGCCCCTGCTGCTGGCACTGCCCGAGATCTGGCCCCAGCAGACGGAGATGGTCGTCCCTCTCCACCAGGAATTCACCCTCAAGTGCAAGGGTGAGCGGGAGGTGCTCTGGGACTTGCCCATCTTCCCAGGAGACTTCCTGGAGGACACAGAGGAGGATAACAGTGGCCTTTTTGTGACCACGCTCACTGTGATTAATGCAACTGTGGAGTACACCGGCTCTTACTCCTGCCATCATGTGGACAGCAACCACACCGAGCAAGACTTGACTGGCATCTACGTCTATGTTCCAGGTACAGTACCAAGGTTTCTGTGTCGCGTACTGTGACCAGCGTTGGGCGATCCCATTGCGTATTATGGATAAATTTGCTCTAGTGCCTTTCATAAGTAGCTTTACATAAACACAACAACAGTATCAAGACCTGATATAGCTACTCAGTCCCTTTGTAAGTGATTGGAACTCCGGTACAACCTCAACTTTCCCTCTCTTTCTCCCATAGACCCCGACATGCCCTTCGTCCCATCTCTGGACCCCTACAGCAAGCACGTCCTGGCCAGTATGGATGACATGGAAATCCAGTGCCGAGTGTCAGACCCCAGGACCAATGTGACGCTGCTGAATGTGGACACACAGAAGGAGGTGCCGGCCACCTATGACAGCAAGCGGGGCATGGTGGGCTTATTCAGCTCCGGCACCTACGTCTGCAAGGCCCTGGTCAACGGCGAGGAGCACTACAGTGAGGAGTACATCATCCATGGATGGACAAGTAATCACCGGCGATGATGTCGTAATTAAGGCAATAGAGCATTTTTGCCGTGTGTGATACTTAATGCCTCCTTCCCACTCTCTTGCAGCTAACGATGACCTCCAGGTGGAGCTTCGTGTGGAACACACAGCTCTGCTGGTGGGGCAGAAGCTGGTGGTGAGCTGTATAGCACGTGGCAGCGAGATGCTGGAGGACCTCTGGAAGTACCCTGGGAAGATGGTGAGGGCTTCTCACATTGAATTGTGTCAGGGGGAGAGCACTGAAGACCAGTGATTTAACTGTATTCTGTAGTTAAGCACGTACCTGTCATAGTTGCCTGTTGATACAGCCCAGGTTATGGTATCACCTCTAGGAACCAGAGGAGGCACATTTAACCTCCACAAATTCAAGGTGGCATCACTAGGAGTAATGCTAGCAATGTTCGTGTGATTTCCGTTAAGTCCAAGCCACTGCACAAAGACATGACATCTGGGCCGTGTGAAGTGATGCATGCTGGGTGATTTTTTGGTGCAGGGCTCAAGGGGAGTGAAGACAGTGAGGGAGAGCAAGGCATCCCAGGAGATCAATTATACGCTGACCATCTCCCAGGCCACCACCAAGGACAGTGGCCTCTACGAGTGCTCCATCACTGACATCATGACCACAATTACTCGGACCAAGAAGGTGGAAATCACAGTCTATGGTATGCTTAAATTGTGAATGAATAAAAGGCTTCTCCATGACTTGGAGCCCTGCCTCTCTGAGCATTTTCTCCTTCCACAGAAAGGGATTTCATATCTCTGGAGCCCACCTTCACTGCCGTGCAGTCTGCCGATCTAGACGAGGTGAAGGAATTTATGGTTATCATTGATAGCTTCCCCACTGCCAGGGTCACCTGGCTGAAGGACGGCAAGGTGCTGAACGACGTCAACGCTGAGATGACCAGCAACCTTCGGCGCGTCAACGAAACCAGGTAACCACAAGCATGACACCCCAAACAGTACTGACATAGCTCATAGTTCGTACACCTAAAGAAACCCGATGACCCAGTTAAACCAAACACCTTAACTCCAGACTATCCAGTTGTTGCAATTCTAGAATGAAAAATGCTGAACAGGGACAACTAATGTTGACATGATTTTGAGAAACTGCGGATGTATTCAAGCAACATCTGTTTCCCAGGTACCAAGGTACCTTGGTTCTGATCCGAGCAAAGGAAGAGGACAGTGGAAACTACACCATCCAAGTTAGAAATGGGAACCTGACCCAGAGCTTCAGTTTCACGTTGAAGGTGAAAGGTAAATGCAGTGCAGCCTTTAATTATGGTTAAATCATGTGACAGTTAGGTTAAGGTAAAGAAGGGTCTTTTCAGGGTTGTGAATTTTCCCTTGTTTGTAAGCAAGCAGAGGTAACCATGACAGTTCCACTTGACAGCTAATCATGACCAACCATCTCTGTCTCCTGCATAGTGCCACCAAAAATTGTGCAGCTGATGGACCTGCACCACAGCTCTGCCACAGGACAGTCTGTGGTGTGCATTGCAGGAGGGCAGCCTGTGCCAGAAGTGGAGTGGTTTGTCTGCAAGAACATCAAACTGTACGTTTCCTCTCACATGTAACACATGCTACGCCACATGCGTTTCCATAGGACCCAGCAGATCAGCCACCTCATAAACAAGGGGGGGGCTGTCTAAGTGAAGGCAGCAGCGTAAACTGTGATGTTATCCTTCTGTTTGTCCACTAGATGCTCTAATGATTCATCTCAGTGGACCTCCCTGGTTGTCAACTCCACCGATATCACCTTGGAGACTCACGTAAACCAGGACAACCAGCTGGAGAGTCAGGTGATCTTTGCCAAACTGGAGAACTCTCTGGCTCTTAGGTGCCTGGCAAGGAACGAGCTAGCGGTGGCTAGCCGGGAAGTGAAACTCGTCTCAAATGGTGAGCATCGTTATTAATGTCCCCTTATTTTCAATGATACCTGCCACAAATTTTTTTTAAAGCAGGCCCCATGGAAAATAGGGTTTTTGATAGATTATATTAGGCTAAGTAATGCTTTATACTTTTGCACTGTGAAATCGCCAAAGGAGAGTTTCTCATAGAGAACCACTTACCCAAAAAATGTCCTAAGTTCCTGATTAATTCAAAACATATTTGATGTTTTTCCTGTGTAGCCCTACAGTCTGAGCTCACGGTTGCAGCTGCTGTCCTGGTTCTGTTGGTCATTGTCATCATCTCTCTCATTGTCCTGGTCATTATCTGGAAGCAGGTATTGAATATCATTCATTAATTCTACTTATAAAGGCTTGTTCAGTTTACCTGCAGCCAAAAATGACAATTGCATGTAACAATTACCACTACATCCATTGTACATTTTACCTGTAGTTAAACTGTCTACGCTTACACTGTCTATGCTTACACTGTCTACGCTTACACTGTCTATGCTTACACTGTCTACGCTTACACTGGCTATGCTTACACTGTCTACGCTTACACTGGCTATGCTTACACTGTCTATGCTTACACTGTCTACGCTTACACTGTCTACGCTTACACTGTCTACGCTTACACTGTCTATGCTTACACTGTCTACGCTTACACTGGCTATGCTTACACATTTCACACTTCCAGTGTTCTTAGCAGTTCCTATTGTTCAGTGTCAACAATGGGATTTAGGTCCAAAAGTTAACAACTTGCTGGAAGTGTGATATTGAAGTTCCACTGACTAATGGACATGGGGTGTGCTTCCTTTCAGAAACCCCGGTATGAGATTAGGTGGCGTGTCATTGAATCAATTAGTCCAGATGGACACGAATACATCTATGTGGATCCCATGCAGCTTCCATATGACTCCAGATGGGAGTTTCCCCGTGATGGACTTGTTTTGGGTGAGCCTTGAGATATATGCCTGACATCTAGTCAGATCATTGGCTGTCCCTACATTGGTTGGCTTCCAACACACACTGTTCATTGGATGCATGTCTACATTTTGTCAGATCATTGGCTGGTCCCTACATTGGTTGGCTTCCAACACACACTGTTCATTGGATGCATGTCTACATTTTGTCAGATCATTGGCTGGTCCCTACATTGGTTGGCTT